AGATAGGTTTAGAGGTTGCCCGACTGGTTTTACAGATGAATGATCAATCAGAAACAACAACAGAGGAACTGACACTGAAGATCTGACTTAGGAAAGCTGTTTCCTTATAAGGCTCACGCAGTAAATCAGACCAGTATGGAAAGAAAATCAGTGTATCTTCAAAGAAGGTAATGGACCTAATCTGCTAAGATTACATTCCTCTTTTACAGTCCTACCTTCTATAATCAAAGACATCTATGGAGAGTGTTTAATGAAGGATCTATAAGTACCAATTCTTGGAGAGAACTAGGGTTACGACGAATATACGAAGAAACACTCCATATCTACTATATGAGAATAGATCTTTGATTGATATGCATCTTCTCAACATAGAATGTTCAAGGTGATTAAGATGATGAACTTGAGAAGAACTACTGCTACTTAAACGAAAGGACGTAAATATCACACTGTTGTGGTAACAACTTTATAGAGCGTCATTGAAGTGGACTGCATCAGAGTTGGCTCTCCAAGTGAAGGGATTTCATTGGACTTCTGTATGCATGGCTCTCCATCTTCAACAATCCACTAAACCTTTGTAGACTGGGTTTGTACCTTGTGTGGGGCACTTGGGTAAGATTATTGTATATCTACCTTTGTACATTGGATTATGAGTTAGTGGATTGGACGCCTGTGTGATCGTCCCCCAGACGTAGATACACACCGTATCGAACTGGGTAAAAACACTCTGTGTCTTTGATTTTGTGTGTGGCTATCTTTCTCCCTCATTACATATTTACTGATTAACCTAATTGGATCAATCAGTAATCTGTTTCAGTCATCTAGTTCTATCGAATTATCTAAAATGAGGAATTGCAAAATTACACACTTATATATATGTATTCCGTTTCGAAATGATTGTGTATATATACCCTACCTATGTATGATACTTAACAGGTATTGGTGGGTTACCAGCATTATCGTTGACCGGGTGTCATCCCAATGTTTATCTTTGTATCTTTCAGGTGATGTCTAGACGAGCGCGATGTTTAGAAGCCGGTAGTCTAGTACCTTTACCTTTGTTTTGTGGCCTGTGTGCCGTTGTAGTGCTAGATTGTTATCTTTTGGGAAAGATGTATACACTTGCAGATTGACTGCCGTAGCGTTTACCGGGTTTGGTAGACGTGGCATAACACCCCGCTTGGATTTCTTTTATCGAGTTTTCGTTCTATATTTCGATGTGCTAGTTTTGTGTATGATCTGCAGGTGTTAAGGCCTTTTTATATAGGTTGTGTTTGGGAGGGGGGGGGGGGGGGTGTTACAGTCACACCAATTCTATCAAATACCATTCCATTTCTAGCCTATTTTGCAAACCATACACTATATTAGGCAACGACTTGATGTGTCGAGTCCAATATCCTGTCATCAAAACATGGTGTTGACTGTTATGCAAGTATAAGTAAATAAAGTTGAACATTCGTTACTAGCTATACCTTCCGGTGTAGTGGTAAGCGCTTTATTTGACAATTGGTATCAAAGTATGTCACGGGAAACATATTGTGCACTTGAGACTGGCAGGTGGTGCGAGAGGATCCTACCATCAAAACGTGGCTATGATGACTGCTATGCAAGTGTAAGGAAATAAATTTGTGTATTCACTACTAGTTATAACTTTTGATGTTGGGGTAAACGCTTGATCTTGACACACCACCTTAGTATTTAGGCTTTTGCTAATTTATATTTGTGTAAACCATTTTTAATCCGACCTTAATTTTGTGATCAATTATTTTGCTCCATTGTTTTTTTAAAAATCAATTTATTGATCCAATAACTAATATGTACAAAGTCAGGGGGAATATGCCTCAAGCCTAAGAGAAACCAACCCAAAATAAACAAGTGTCTAAGTAAGAAAGACACATTTTGCTAACACTTGCACAAAATAAGCAAAAACTCATAGCTAGGCTTAAAGTTAGAGATGAAAATAGGCCGGGCCGAGTCGAGCTTTTGAAATTAAGTTTGATCCTACATTCCTCATATAAAAATCTAAGGTCTGAGTCTGGGCCTAAGTCTGTATGTAGTTTTTTTTTTTTTTTTTTTTTTTTTTTTGTCTGACTTGACCTGAAGCCTATTTAAAAGTCTATTTAATATGTAGACCATAAAATTTTTTAAAATATACCTAATACTCGTTCTGCCTAAAAAATAGTGACAACAATGACCGATAAAGGAGATTTATAAATTTACTTGGACAACGATTAAGAATATGATTGCTGCCTCGCAGTCGCATGGGAGAAAGTGAGATCATTGAGACATATTTACAGAATTAGTATTTAGAATTGGGATTTTTGGTGGCTAAGATTTGGTAATTGATATATATAGTTGGGTTATATTGTAAATATAAAAATATACTAGGTATAAATATAATAATAAGACGGATCATATTATATTTTTAAAAATGCGGTGGCATTTTTGTAATTATTGTCAACTTCATTTTACAAACTTGAACATTAAATATGCAATATGTAACAAATAAATATGCAAACCTCGATAAAATTTAAAAAATCAATGAAAATGCTAAATTTTAAATCTAAACCATAGAGCTAGACCCTAAGTAGTAAAAAGTAAGCCACTAAACCAAATAAAACAAAAAACTAAGTCATAAACTCTAAAATTGAAACTCTAAGTGTAGTGCACTTTCACATTTTTGCAAGTGAAATTGTTTAATACTAAATGTGCAATATGTTAATACTAATTCCAAACCTAGAAATTTCGAGAAGTGCAAATTTTAGTGTTCAACTTTGCATAATAAAGTTGGTGATAATTATGAAAATGCCACCGCATTTTTTAAATTTGATCTGGTGCTTCCGATTTTTTTCAGGTGTAAGACTGAGATTGGTTCTTAGTTTTCTCCTAAGGACTTGCTCTCATATGACCCAATACACACACACGCACATGCCAGACCTGACATCTTTACTAAATAGGCTAGGTCAAGATAGACCTAAAGTATGCCATGTTATAGGCTTCTTGATAGCGACCTAGCCTATTTTCACCTTGGCCTACTTTAGTAAACTTACCCTAGTCCAACAAAAAAGGGGGATCATGTCCAAGTTGTAACAACAAATTAGCCAGCAACATAAGCACAAGGCCACACACACTACCAAGCGAGATAAACAAAGAACACCCCAATTTTGATAAAAATTCAGTAGTATAACAACAACTCTCCATATGCCAAAACAACATAAGTGACCTAAAGGCCATGCATGTTCACACAAGCACATGAGAATAGAGTGGTGCACAGGCCAAAAGTAAACACAAGAGGTGCACATGTCAAAGCCAAAGCTACGAAAACAAAATAAAACCAAGTCAAGAAGGGCGATGGTCTATACCATCAATGCCACTATGAGCCAGTGGTCAGCAGCGCACCAAGTAACTGCTGGTGCGAACAAGACGATCTTTGTCACCATTACCACTTTGAGCAAGTGACCAGTCTTACAATCTTTAGTGGCTACCAGTACGACCAGACTAGACCATTACAAACTGCCAATAAGGCAATAACTATAGGGTAGTCTAAGCCACAATAACCACTTTGAGCAAGTGGCCAGTGGCGCACCAAATAACCGCAGGCACTGGTGGGGTAGTCTAAACCACCATCATCATCTCTTTGAGCAAGTGGCCAACAAGACACCAAATAACCACTAGTAGTGCGAGCGGGGTAGTCTGGATCGTCATCACTACTTTGAGCAAGTGGCTAATGATATACCAAATATCCACAGGTATCGACAGGGTAATCTGGATTACCTTCACTACTTTGAGCAAGTGCCTAGCAAGAATTGGAATTATAGTCTTTATCGGCTGTCATTAACACAAATGGACTAGGTTGTTGCAAACCGTTAACAGCTACAAGACAGTCTGGACTACCATCACTCCTTTGTGCAAGGGGCCAATAGTGTACCAATGAACCATAGGCGTAAACGAAGATTCAAAAGAAGAAAGGATCTAGCAATGCCAGAACAAACAACTAAGCATCAACACATCACTACGATCAAAGGAAGGCAAGCCATCCAATGAGACTAGGAACGCACGAGGAGGAAAATCAAGCAAGGTGCTAAAAGGAAACTCTTGATCCCTCCTTGACACCCACTCATCAACAAAGCAAAACAAGGCAGATTAACCTCAGGCGAACAAACCAAAGCAGTGAAAGAGACACAAGAAGCAAGAAATGTAAGACACGAAACGTCACTATCAAAATACCAACGAGCGCATGAGGAAGAGTCAAAATAGTCCTTGAACTCCAACATCGAAGTCTTGACAAAGATAGACCTAATACCCCAGATAAACAACACTCAAGACATGCAAAGAGAATCCAGCAAAAGACTTGAAATCCCATGCACATAACTTGAGTGGGCAACCCTGGTTACACACCAAGGCAACAGCTCTCCCCATGGAGCTATATTTACCTTTAGAAATATAATCTAGCCAGAGTAGGCAACCATTGAACCATCTGAACTATACGCCTCAGTGAATGACTGAGAAGTGGTATTTTCAGTGAGTTTTTATCAGTAAATCTTACAAGAATTATTACTTCTTGGCCAAATCGAGAAGTTAACCGGCAAGGTGGAAGAATTCCACCTTATGGTTAACTTCTCGGTTTGACTGAGAAGTGGTACGTACTTTCGATGAGTTTTCATTGGTCATGTCGTCGAAAGGATTAAATTTGAAAAAGAAAATAAAAATCAAAGTGGAGCACTATTTATTTTGGGAATAAAAGTTGTAAACCCAACCTGACGGGGACTTAAAGTCATAGGTCCAAATTGGAAAATACTCTTTATAATATATACAGTAGCATTTTAATGTTGGTGGTGTTGTGATGTCAGCAACTAACAATAACAAATTATTGTAAACAAACAACATGATCGACATTTAACAAGACATTCTTCCCTTTTGGTCGGGCGAGGTGTGGGTGGTGGGTGGGTGGGTGGGTGCCTTCTCTGATGTTTCTTTAATAATGCCCCAATGAACCATACCGTCGGATTTCTGCACTTCAAATTCGTCTGTGTGTCTGTCTGTCTGTGTTTCTCAGCTCACATTATTATTTGTTTCAGTCCGCGTATCAGCCGGCGGTGGAGCCAGGCGGTGGCGGAGTTCGTGCCTCACCGCCAACCACCATTTTCTCCGCTCACTTTTCTCCCTCATATATCGATTCTTTCCCGACAATCCATACTCCATTTTATATATATTTATAGCTTCCTACTCAAGGGATAAGGCCAAGTCATAGAAAACACTTGCTTAATCGATCCAACTAAGAAAACGACACTCCCATTTCTTTTGTTTTCTTCTGCATTATTTTCCCTAATATTTTTGCTTAATTCTTGTGCAACCCTATATATATATCTTGCCCTTTGCCTTTCCCGGAAGAAAAAAACTTCATTTTTTTTTGCAAAAAAATAAAATAAAATTCTCTCCTCCTCAGATCAGCTCCTTAGCTTGGCTTTCTTCTGTTCCATTTTCTCTTTTCTTGGGATCTGATCTTTCTCGATCATCATGACTAGAAGACAAGAAAGAGAAAAGATCGAACAGAGAAAGTTAAGGAACTGATGAAACATCATCTCGCAGGTTGTGTGTTCAATTCCCGAGGAAAAAGATAAAACATTCCCTCTGTCGTCGTTGCTTTTCTTTTTGTCTGCTTCAGTGCGCTTCAAAAGTTTGCAAAGGAAAAAGAGAGATTGAATAAAGTTTCAGATCTCTCTTCACATATCAAGGTTTTTTACCCTTTTTTGCTGTTATTTTACCCATTTGATTTCTCCTCCTCCTTCTTACTATATATATATATATATATATTTTCTTCTGTTAATTGCTTTTTGATATATCTGATGAGACAAAACACTAAAGTTTTTGTTTTTAATTATTCTTGATGAATATGTTGAGGTTGATGAGAATAATGGAAGCACTGCACTTAGTGGACTTTGATCTTGAAAAATTGTTTATTTCAGTAGTAAAGATGATTAAATCTGGGATTTTTTCACTACAATCATAAGTATATATATACCATTAGATTACATGTTTTTGAGTTTTGACATATATTAAACTTTTTGACTGCGAATTATTCTAACTTTTTTGAGTGGAAGGAGTTATACTTTTTAATTTTTATTTTTTTTGGTATGGTAATTGTTTCATTCTAGAGATGCCAAAAGCTAAAGCAAACTCGAGTGGTTTTTACCTACATCTACGAGTAATTTAATGTTTTAAAATATATGTTACTTGCAGTACTAGGTAGTGTAATCAAACTGTGGCAATACATACATCACTTGAAATTTAGACTTTTTTTTGTTTGTTTGTTTGTTCAATGTTAAAACTTTCATTTAAATTGGAGTTTCTAAAAAATTTCTTCTACCAAAAAAGTTGAATTCCCAATCCTAAGCCCCTACACCCCCCAAGGTTTCTCCAAAAATTTCAAGAAGATGAATAGAAGATCTGTACAGATATTTCAGTCTTGTTCAAAAGAAAAAATGTTTTCTTAAAAAAATAAAAAACCTTAATTACCCAGAATTCAATTAAAGATCAGTTGGTTTAATTTGGTTTTATTTTGTGTTTTGAATTAAATTTCTATTAGAAATTTCTCATCATGCTTCAGAATTTTGTCTTGGAAATGGCATAGGGTATAGTATTTATGAATTGTTAGCTAGGTCTTATGTTTTATTGTTTGGTTGAATCCCCAACCTCAAGACCTCTCACCCCGGCCCGACCGAGCATCTAGCAGGATGATCTTATGTTTAATTTTGTGGCTATTATATCAACACAACCACGGAAACTTATCATTTTCCTATATATTTGGTAATAACTGTATTATTTTCATTAGTTGATAAATAATGATTATTATCATTATCACTCACGATTATTATTTTTGATTAAAAAGAAAACATTATTGCATCTCATAAGTCGGAAAAATTAAGAAAAATAGTAAGAACATAAATTGATGAAGCCTCTTAAAAGGATAAATGTAGTGTGGTCCTAACCGGTTCACTGTTTTGATAAATGATGACTAATAACGATGTCCATTTTTGCACACTGATATATGGTTGCCTTCAAACGTTAAATATAGTGAATATATATAATGTTACATTACATAGGTTCAAGTGTCTTATGACTAACTGCTTAGGATAAGGGAAACATTTTCTGGATGTCCAGAAAATTAAAGTTTCATGAATTCATACATATATACTCTTAGGAAGCTTTGAAGAAACTAATTAATAAAGAAAGCTTGGGAACATAACATTTTTGTTGATTACTATGGCAGGTTGTTTTAAAGCAGATGAATTCTTTGTCACATGTTCCACCTGGGTTCAGATTCCACCCAACAGATGAAGAGCTTGTTGATTATTACCTCCGCAAGAAAGTTGCATTAAAAAGAATTGATCTTGATGTCATCAAAGAGATTGATCTATACAACATCGAGCCCTGGGATCTCCAAGGTAGTAACTTTAATGTTATTTTAGGAGTTATTACCATCCGAGGTCCTCCGAGTATAGTGGTTTTGCTACGTTTAGTCCTAAACTTTCAAATTAGCCATCGGTGGTCCTTCGACTTTCAAATTTAACAATCCGTGGTCTAAATTTACCACCCATGGTCCTTCAACTATTAAATTTTAACCAACCATGGTCCTTTCAAGAGGACCACAACTGGTTAAATTTCAAAACTTGAAGGACCATGAGTGGTTAACTTGGACCACGAATGATTAAATTTGAAAATCGGAGGACTACAAGTGGTCAATTTGAAAGTTTAGAACTAAACATGGCAAAATCACTATACTCGAAGGACTTCAGATGGTATTAACTCTTTATTTTTTACTAGGAAGATTAAAATGTTAGGATGACTAAAATTTCTTGAACAAATAATTAAATATAATTAGTATAACATCTTTATTAGGATTAAGCTCTTACCACTACACCAAAAGTTATAGCTCTTAACAAAAACAAAAATTTATTTCCTTATATATTGCCACATTTTTCCAAGACTGGGTGCTGTACTTGGCTCGTTAGGTCTTCGCCCACGATCTCTTAGCCCTCAATTGCTGGGCTTGAATATTCATTAGCCTCCGCCCAACAATCTTTGTATCAATAATTATCATTTATAATAATAATAATGGTTTGTAATTTGGATGGAAATGATAGAGCTTTGCAAGATAGGGTGCGAGGAGCAAAGTGATTGGTATTTCTTCAGTCACAAAGACAAGAAGTATCCAACGGGGAGTCGGACGAATAGAGCTACAAAAGCAGGGTTCTGGAAAGCCACGGGAAGGGACAAAGCCATTTACTCAAAGCACCATTTCCTGATAGGGATGAGGAAGACATTGGTTTTTTACAAAGGTCGAGCCCCAAATGGACTCAAATCTGACTGGATAATGCACGAGTACAGACTCCAAACCAATGAAAATGGACCTTCCCAGGCAAGTCCATCCCATCCATGCATCTTATATATGTTTCTATCAATCCTACCTAGGGTTTTCATCTACTAATGTTAAGGATTTATTATGATAGATGTTTCTTGGGTTTTTTGTTTTTTTTCTCTTTGTTCGTTGATTCAACTTATCCTGATATTTGTTAGTGCTAGCTGGTTAGTTGTTACCATTATATTTCAAGCTAAATAGTGATGAGTTGAATTGGTTAATTAATTCATAAATAACAAGGTTTCATTCCCTTAAAAGGCAAAAACATGTGTGAGACGTCTCACATATATATTCTTGTTCGTGAGATGGGTCGGGTCAACATAAAATGTACTCCGTAATACTTATAATAAAAAAATGTAATACTAAATCAGAAATAAAATATTTTATTACTTATATGGAAAAATGTAATGCTTTTACATTTTGATGTAAAAGTATTATATTTGTCCTTAAAAAGTATGGTGTTTTCTTTTATAAGTAACAAACATTTTATTCCTGATTTAATATTACATTTGCATATTGACCTGACCCGAACTGTTCCGTCTCACATATAAGTATAAGAATTCGTGAGACGGCCTCACACAAGTGTGACCCAATTATAAAGTTACTAAATTTATCTAAACAAAAGCCTTGGCTTGTTGAGTTCCCTTTTTCTGGGAGGAGTCGACTTTACGAGTGCAACCCAAACCAAATACGATTTTTTTTTTTTTTGAATGCTACTAGCTCTATTAGAATGTAGTATATAACGTCTACATTGAGGCTCAAACTCACAACCTTCCAAATGAAAGTCCAACTCGGGTACCATTAGACCACATAGTCCTAATAAACCAAATACGAATTAGTTTCCCAATAATACTGAGGATATTGAATGTCATATGTAATATATATATATATATATATATATATATATATATATATATATATATATATATATATATATATATATATATATAAGGGTTCCTATGAAATCACCTATTTAAGTGAGATTGTGAGATTAAATCTTGTACATCAATCTAATACAATTTAATGATCTAGATCAATCACGTTCGCACATTCTTAATCGCATTTTGACACACTTATCTTGATCAATCTAGACCATTAAATTTATTAGATTAATGCACAAGATTTGATCTCACAATCTCACTGACCAATCTAGATCAATCGCGTTTGCACACATTTAATCGTGTTCGCAATCACTTGATCTAGATTAATATAAACCATTAAAATAAATTAGATTGATGCACAAGATTTGATCTCACAATCTCACCGAAACAGGTGATCTCATATGATCCCCTATATATATATATATATATATATATATATATATATATATATATATATATATATATATAAGGACCAATAAATTATTAGATTATTTTTTGTTAGGTAGCTAGGGTTTATATTATATGTATACATATACATATAAATACATATATACAGGCATAACCCAATTGTTATATTGTATCATTGACTAGGGTTCTTGTATTATTGTTAATTCTGGTACAAAAATTATGTGTCTGCAGTTAAAACATCATATACGTTCATGCAGTTAATTGCTTCTGTACCCGTAACATGTTATGTCTCTGTAAATAACATATTCTTTAATATTTACAGAAATTGTTAACTACATGTACATAATGTATCTACTATAGATACAGAATTTGAAAATTATTTTTAACTAGGTCTGCAGTACAAAGTAAACTATAGTCCAAGGTGTAATTTGCCTGCATAACCTAGCCTACATACTGTAATTTTCCCTAAGGAAGTTATATGTTTCATCTCTTTAATTATCTAGTAGCTTTGTTGAAATGGAAAGAATGCATGCATTGCATGGAGCTAGCCTAATTAACATGACTAATATATATAAACTTGGTTATCTATGGCAGGAAGAAGGGTGGGTGGTGTGCAGGGCATTCAAGAAGAAAATGCCAACAATAGCAAGGAATGAAGGAGCAGATCATGAATCTCCTCTATGCAGCAGCAGCTGGTACGATGATCAAATCTCATCATTCATCCCAGATTTCGAATCTCCAAGGAGAATCTCTACTCACCATCCTAATTACAACATTAATATTCCTCCACCATACAACATCAACAACCCCCATCATCATCATCATCAGTTGCAGTACAACATCATCGTACCCCACGAACATGAACAACACCACCACCCATTCATCCACCAATCATCATCACTCCCTCAATTAGAATCCCCAAAGCTCCCCAAAACTCTATCGCCATGCAGCTCCATGCAACAACAACCCCCCGCCCAATTCCACATCATCAACTCATCATCTTCACCTTCATTGCTCTACTGCAATGATCAATCTGTGGCTGATCATCAGCTCACCACCGATTGGCGAGTTCTCGACAAATTTGTTGCATCTCAGTTGATGAGCCATGAAGATGAAGATAATAATAACAATAATGGTGATGGAAAGGAGACTACTGATGCCTACTCAACCCCTCTTCGCGCTTCCAGTTCGTTCCAACCTTGAATTCAAGTGATGAATCAAGCTTATAATATATATATATGATGATACAAGAAAGAAATTAAAGAACTAAGATTTGCCTCATTTTCTGTACATAATAATATTAAAGATGCATGGGAAGTATTGCATTTAGCTCTTGATTGCACCAATATATACATTGAGGCATGCAAATGGTAGAGCAAGAGAAGCAGACCTGTCTGTGTAACTATATATATGTATACATATAGGTGGATTGTATGACAAAGTGTCTAGGTGGATGGCACTTATTTGCTCTTATGGACTCATGATCAAGGGTTTTGGATATATGTTAATGTATTGATTATATATATACACATTATTGAGTTTATATAATTTGTAGACCTTTTCTATGTGTCTAGCATTTTCATGCATTAACAGTAATGATGTTTCTCTTAATTAAGAAAATTTGAATTGATGAGAATGGCTTACTACTATGCCAAAATCTATAAATATGTAATTTTATTTACTTATATTTATATAACAGTATAGTCAGTGTAGGATGTGAGACTCACTTCCCTCTCTAAGTTGGTGTCCCATAGAGTTTCATCAATGTGGAAAAGTAGTTTATAGTTTAAATAAGATTATTTCACTAGTGAATGACAATTTTTTAGGTGACTTATTTTGGTCTTTATCTACTTCAAAAGTGGATATTGGGCAAAATAGTAAGGTTATTAGAAGAGATAATTTTTGTGCTAAACAAAGTGAGAATTTTCCTATTTATCCAGAAGTTTCAAATGAAGACTTTTTATAAAAGTTCTTTCGAAAAAGTTAATTATCATCTTAGCCAAAACAAGCGAATGTGCAAAGGCAAAATTACATCCCACAAAACTACAAAGGATACATTATGATAGGTAAAAGTGCACATAAGAAATGTGAGCACTCTAATAGTGCATCGGGTAAAATATTTACGAGAAACTCCGCATTCGCTATGTAATTGAAAATGCTCATCACTAGGTAACCAGCTTGATTAAACTAATAAGACAATAGATAACTCTCATGGAGAATCATACTTAGAATTTTGTAATTACCAAATTAATCAACTATCCGACCAACTTAACTAAAGGTTGTTCCAAAAGTAAACCTCTCCTTGAATTACACTTTTACATATCATAGGGTGCCTGGCCACATTTTTTAGTGCATGCACTTTTACATATCATATGATGTACTTTGTAGTTTTACGTGGTTCATATTTCTTCTATATATATATAAAAGGTGCATGCGAAGGATTCTAAACACATCATATATTAAATATAAATATAAGTGAATTGAAGTGAGACATAAAAATTTTAATAAAAGATATATAATTGAACATGATAGTGTTTAAAAGTGGCTAATCGGATGGTGAAGTATCTAAGACTATCTACTTAGTCTAGATGGAAGTTACCTATCCAATGAAATTTGATAAGGCATTCGTTCAATAAAACCCATTCCTCTTTTCCCTAAACTAACAATTAATGAAGATTGCAATCCAATTCCACACTGGAGTCATGCATGCAATGCCAGCTGAGAACAAAATACAGATCCAAATAAGGCTATCTCATGGGCATATATGCAGCCTAGCTAAAGAATGAAACAGTAATAGATGGAGTATATATATGACAATTATTCATTAAACTAAATACATGAAAATTAAAGCCAAAAAATGTCTGAAACAAAGCCTGCAGGTGCATGTGGCGGTACGTACCTGCAACTGCTCTGCCTCTCTCTTTAAGCAAAATTCATATCTTGGAATGATCATCCACCTAACCCTAACACATAGCTTGTCTATTTATCTTGGTATTTACAAGACATTTCCTTCTAAAGTGTTGTTGGAATGGGTAGCAGCTCAGAGAGGCGATCGAATCCAGCATCCTACCATCAAAATGTAGCTGGCGTTGACTACTACACAAATATAAGGAAATAAAGTTACGCTACTTCTACTACTACTAGCTACAACTTTTGGCGTAATGGAAAGCGCTTAATCTAACAATTGATATCAGAGCAGGTGTAAAATACTTGGCCTGCAAGCTAGCTAGCTAGGATAATGGAGTGAAAGGGGCGGGGTAAAAAAGGCCTTCATAGTTAACCTGGAGAGCTTGCTGGTTTTGTTGGCTGGGATGAAAGAGAAAGAAGAGAGAGGGGGGGGAGGGGGGGGGGGGGGTGTATATAAGGAGATGAGGGGATTCACTATGATTATGTTGCAATAAGTATGTAGAAGAGACGACAGACATGAATGTTGAGGTGTGTGATTGATGATGATCTATCTACCAGGTGGCTGTGAATCTGCGACAGTGATGGATGAGGAAGCAGCATATATGATTTTAGACTTTTAGTTGCTGGCTTAGCTTGGGGGTTGAATTCTATTATCTCTCTCTCTCTCTCTCTAAAGGCATGGCATGCAGTCCCTTTCAAGCAATTGTTAGCTATTTAGTTATTTATTATTATTGTTATTATTTTTTACAGTAGAAGACATCATAATTGATCCACCGTGCCCTATATCACGCCTTCATCATAATTAACCCTTCTCTTTCTCTTGCTGCTTCCGCACTTCCAAAACAAATTGCTATATATCCACTTATATATAATACATTATTATTGTTATTATATAAGTCTCCATAAATGTTATATACTCTTAAGAATTAGAGCACAAATTAAATCTAGCTATGAAGTATAGCTGCACGTACGTATACTAAGAGCATCACAAGCTGAGCTTCTTTGGAGGGTTTTGCCGAGCAAAATTGAGAGGGTGGTTTTTGGTTGATAAGAGGGTGAATTTTTGACAAAGGCCTTGGTTGGCAAAATAGTTAGCTTATTGGTAAATTTTAACTTATTCGACTACTATTAACTTTTTGACTTGGTTAAAAAAAATTAATATAAGTGTTTGGTTAATTAGCTTTTGTAACTTCAAAATGCTAAAATTCAAAAAGCTACTCAAAACAACTTTTTCAATTAGCTTTTTGAGAAAAGAAATTATACCAAACATCTATCAGCTAACAACTAATTTACCAAACACATTTCTACGAATCAGCTAATGTTATCAACTAGTTATGCCTCTAATTAACCCAATCAGCTAACATCTAACAACTAACAGCTATCAGCTAACCTCCATTTACCAAATAGGGCCATAATTTTTTTCCTTGCAAAATCAAGTTTTTTGAAGGAAAGAAAATAAAAATAGAATACGAAATGCACAACATGCTTCTGCCTAGTGAATACACAGTCGTTATATCGTGGACCGCGGTGCACGTGCACCGCAGTCAAAACGACGCCGTTTCTTTACTTAAAGAAACGGCGCGCCGTTACAGTTAACAGAGCGTGCATATTTGGTGTATTAATTATCAACTGACACTACAGTGTATTTAAACCGATACTGCCTCACGTATTTTTTATATATTATCAACTGAAACTGCAATTCAATTGAAGCGAAACTGTAGTTGTGTTGAAATGAAACTACAGCGGGGTAATTTCCAGCGGGTAGCCGGTGGGTGAGGGGTCACCCGCCGGTGGCAAATTTCCGGGCAGCGGGTGCCCGGCGGGCAGTCGCCTGCCCGCTGCCGGCGACGTCCATCCTGGCCGCGGGTAGGTGGCGGGTCCCCTACCCCCACCTACCCCCCACTGACTCTTTTTCACCAATAACTCCCCGGGAACCTTTGTGGAACCCGAAACCATGCTTAGATACTTTAAAACGCAATTGATGGCAACACGTAGACAATTAACGGATCAAAAGCGAGAAACATATGGCACATATCCTATCATGCTTTCTAAACATAATTAACACCCCAACATGCGAATTCCCACTCAATACATTAAGAATAACATCATACGGGTTTCACGTTACATCCTAGGGCTCTAATCACAATTAAATCATCAAGAACGTAATTCATCTTTTACACTAAGAAACAATACGATTTATCAAGAATATCACACAATCATTAGGAATCTAGGTTTATCAGAATATTACACATTCATCAAGAATCTCTTTCCATCCTCAAGATTATCAAGATTACCCAAGAAAGCATAACATCAATTATCAAGATCACACCATCAATATCATAAACGAATCATTAATACACAAGGATGTAGAGGGATGCCTAGAGGGAGATTATAGCTAAGAAAATAGGTTTTGTTGAGACATGGGTTACCTCTTAGCATTAATTAATTTCCTTGGCTATGAAGGATCTTTCTCTAAGTCTTTCTTCTTTCTTGATTTCTCCTAGGGGAATTCTTGGAGCTCCTTGTGTGGTGAGAGATTATTGTGGTGTGGGTTCTAGGTGCCTCCTATGTCCCCTATTTATATATCTAAGAGTCCTAGTTAGGGCCCAATTACTATAGGCTTGCTAACTCTATTCCTTTTAGGACTAGGGGTTGGGCCTTTTCCTAATTAATTATTGTAATTTAATTTTTTCTTTGGATAATTGGTTAATGATTAATTGGTTTTAGGGGGCGTAACACGGGGTGTTACAGCTGAACCGAGCTGCAGGAAGAGGCTTCGTAAAGATGTCAGCCATCTGATCTTTTGTAGAGATAAAGTTGACCAAGAAGTCCCCAGACGTCACCTTATCCCGCACAAAGTGATAGTCGATTTCCATATGTTTAATCCTGGCGTGGAAAACTGGATTCGCACACATGTGGGTTGCGCCTAGGTTATCACACCATAAAGTGGTTGGCGCACCGGAATGGAGACCAAGTTCACAGAGGAGTGATACAACCCACGTTACCTCAGCTGCAACATCGGCTAGACCCTTGTACTCTGCCTCAGTGGATGAGCGGGCCATTGTCTGTTGCTTGCGGGATACCCAGGAGATGAGGTTTGAGCCAAGGAGCGTACCCACTAGTCGATTTCCTGTCTACGGGACAACCAGCCCAGTCGGAGTTGGCATATGCGTGGATATCCGAAGACGGTGATGAAGATAGTCGTAAGCCATGCGTGGATATCGCAGGACCCGCTTTAGGAGACCCCAGTGTTCATCAGTCGGAGCATGCATAAACTGACATAATCAATTAACTGCATAGGAGAGATTAGGTCGAGTAATGGTTAGATACTGGAGAGCCCCGGCAAGTCGACGATACTGTGTGGGATTCTCAAAAAGCTTAGTTGTAGGCGATGTGGCTTGTGTAAGAGCCGCTGGAGTGGATGGTGGTTTGCAATAAGACATGCGGGCATGGTTTAAGATATCATCCATATAATGGCACTGAGAGAGAAGCAAACCACCCTCAACGAGTAGCATTTCAATGCCGAGGAAGAAACTAGGGGTGCCCAAGTCCCGTATTTTGAAAGTAGAAGAGAGACGTTGTAGAAACGAGGCAAGGAGTTCTGAGTCATTACCCATCATGATTATATCATCGACGTACACTAACAAAAAGACCCGTGAGGCGTGAGCTATATTGTAACACCCCACTTTTTTATACCTTATTAACAATACTTAACTTAGAAAGGGATACTAAACAAGCATAATAAACTTACTAATTAAACTTTAAGAGGTGTCACCGCCACAATCACCGTACACGGTGATTGCATAGGCAAGGAAATGATTTAAACATAATCAAGCTTACTAACTTTAAACAAACTTGGGGAATGAAACCCCGGTGTCTAGCACTATCAAAAACATCTAGATAGGTCTACAACCAAGTCTCAAAATAAACATAATTGATAAGAGTTTAGACTACAACTAGCACTCTAAGCTAATCTAGTCTAACTCGATCGCTCTCAAGAACTGGGCCCACCTGAAAGGGGTTAACAAACAAAAAAGTAGAAAACAACCCGTTAGCACGAAGCTAAGTATAACGCCACTCAATCCTGTAAAATACTATAGCATATACTTTTGAAAAACATTTGTTTCACACACTTAGATCAAGTATTCTCAATCACTTTAATAACATTCAAACATACTCAACAGTAATTATATATGCTTGCAACCTAATTATCAAATGGAATACTTTCTCTATCATTTAACACATAAATCAATCTCATGTTTTCACATGTATATCACTATCATGGCGAAATACATTACTTAAGCTCAAAGAATGGATAAAGAGATCAGATACTAAATACTCAACAAGCAATCTCATACTATCATATATTTCAACAAACAATCTCATATTATCATATGTCTCAATAAGCAATCTGATAATATTATTATCTCAATAAGCAATCTCATGCTATCAAATAACTGGATAAACAATCTCATGCTATCATATATCTCAATAAGCAATATCATGCTATCATATATCTCAATAAGCAATCTCATGCTATCATATATCTCAATAAGCAATCCCATGCTATCAAACAACTCAATAAGCAATCTCATGTTATCATTGTGAACAAAGAAAATTGAATATATATTTAGAAATTCAAAATTTTAGATACAAATCAAGTATCAATGCGGTGTGGGTACAAGATCTCTGGATGTCCTCTGATTCTTCAATTTGATGTCTTGAACACTCCACCATTGAAGGGCCTCCGGGTTTCAAGTGGCTTGATCTTCAAAGAAGGGCTTGTATATATAGCTTGTTCTTCTTGAAGGGCCTCCGGGTTCAAATGGCTTGATCTTCAATAGAGGTTTGAATCAACATACATCAACATATGAAGGAGGAAGGATTTGTACTTTCAGGATCACATTTTTATTGTGATCTCTGAATAAGCTTTAGATTTCTTTCTATGATTTTTCCTAGGATGTCTAATTACAGAGAAATGAGAGCTCCTATTTATAGTTGTTGGATAGAGAGTTTTGATAAGCTCAAACTCTTTTGATATTATCTAATTAACAAATTAGATAATATCAATATTATCCAAAATATTTTAAATATATTTAAATATACTAATATTGATAAATAATCAATATTTATCAAAATTTAAGTGTCTACAAATGCCCCCTCGAGACTTGCTTGTACACCACTTGAGAGCATATAACACTCGAAAGTATGTAGTGCAAGAAAGTCTTGACACCACAACTTAAAGATATAAGGCCGTTTCAACTCGTGCCAAGGAGCCTTGAAAGATATGAGGCCGTTTTTACTCATGCCAAAGAGCCTAAATATGAGGCCGTTTAAACTCGTGCCAAGGAGTTTCATTTAGCTTCATCCGTTTCAAATTTCATACAGGGTTTGCCCCCATATCGGTTGAAAGTGTCTATGAAGAGATGAGAGGCAGAGCTGTCCCACTGGGCGTGCCAATTTGTGAACAAAGAAAATTGAATATATATTTAGAAATTCAAAATTCAAGTTTACATATCAAGTATCAATGCGGTGTGGGTACAAGATCTCTGGATGTCCTCTGATTCTTCAATTTGATGTCTTGAACACTCCACCATTGAAGGGCCTCCGGGTTTCAAGTGGCTTGATCTTCAAAGAAGGGCTTGTATATATAGCTTGTTCTTCTTGAAGGGCCTCCGGGTTCAAATGGCTTGATCTTCAATAGAGGTTTGAATCAACATACATCAACATATGAAGGAGGAAGGACTTGTACTTTGAGGATCACATTTTTATTGTGATCTCTGAATAAGCTTTAGATTTCTTTCTATGATTTTTCCTAGGATGTCTAATTACAGAGGAATGAGAGCTCCTATTTATAGTTGTTGGATAGAGAGTTTTGATAAGCTCAAACTCTTTTGATATTATCTAATTAACAAATTAGATAATATCAATATTATCCAAAATATTTTAAATATATTTAAATATACTAATATTCATAAATAATCAATATTTATCAAAATTTAAGTGTCTACAATCATATAACTCAATAAGCAATCTCATGCTATCATATATCTCAATAAGCAATCTCATGCTATCAAATAACTCAATAAGTAATCTGATGATATTATATATCTCAATAAGAAATCTCATGCTATCAAATAACTCAATAAGCAATCTCATGCTATCATATATCTCAACAAGCAATCTCATGCTATCATATATCTCAATAAGCAATCTCATGCTATCAAATAACTCAATAAGCAATCTCATGCTATCATATATCTCAATAAGCAATCTCATGCTATCATATATCTCAATAAGCAATCTCATGCTATCATATATCTCATTAAACAATCTCATGCTATCAAATAATGAATAATCGACAATATAAAGTCATGCTTCTTATCATACTTTCATGCAACCCGTGCAAATCATTTAATCATGCAATAAAATGAACATGATGCTTTAGTATAAGTAAAGATAGATATACATATACACTCTTTCTTTTGTAACAAGGAACACTTGTTCTGTGGAGGTTTCTTAGAGTCACAATGACTCGCTTTTCTTTTCTTTCACTTGAGTCACACAGACTCGCTTTTCTCTCTTTACTTTTACTCGTAGGCGAGGTAAGAACTTCACCGTAATGTGAATGGACCTATCTGGGCTCGGCATCTAGCTGACCTAATACTCTTCTCACCCACAGAACCATTCTCTTGGCTCGTTTCTCAAACTCTGTGGAATCAGGTATCGTACTTGTAAGTGTGTACACCCCCTAACCGGGATTCCAAGCCCGGCGGGTAGTATCCTACCTAGTAACTCGGGAATATCGACCTCGTTACTTCACATCGGATCGCAATGTCCGTTTATTTCTTTACTTTCTCTTTTCTTCTGAAAGGACATAGTCCTAACGGACCTCCAAAATCTCAAATTACTCATACTAGGTACATATATATATATAACTCATGCATTTCATTCTCATGCAACAACTATACTTATGCAAACTTTTGCACATAGCTTCTCAACAACTTCTCTTTTCTTACAAATTGGAAATCAAATATCATGTAGCTTCTCAATGCAACTAGATAATGCTTTTCCAAAATAGATATAGGTGTTTGTCCCGGTAGGGTCGAAAGGAGAGTCTAGAGGGGGGGGGGGGGGTGAATAGACTCAATTCGTTTTTTGCGAAATAACTCCTTTCAGGATTATTACGCAGCGGATATGTAATACAAATTTTAGGTTGCTTTGCACTGTTTGTTCTTTTAGAAAACTTTCGGTTAGAGTCGCGTGTTATGCAATGCACGAAAGTAAAATGCTGGAATGTAAAGAGAAAGAGACAAGAGATCTTTATAGTGGTTTGAAAAACTGTGCCTACTCCACTCTTCTTTCACAACTTGTGAAAGGTTTGCACTATCACTCCTAGTACAAAATACACCAAGATAGCTTCCTTGATCACTGAGCCGAACAGCTACTTGAAGGTTTTTCAACTCCTAGAGTTTACTCCGCCTCTATCAACGTCTTCTTCAGAGTTGAGGGTTGGATATGGATAATCTTCGAGTTTCTCCAACACAATGATGTCTTGACTGGCTGGTGATTTGATTGATGATCAGAGTATACAAAATTGCAAGACTTCTTCAAGGTTGTGTGAATGAGATCAGATGCGTCTTCTTCAAATTTCACACCTTGAATCACTGGATTTCAAAAGCTTGAGAGAGTGAACTTGTATAAGGAGCTTTTGAGAGAATGTATTCAATTGTTCTAAGAACCAGCAACTTCTGTCATGAAGAAGATGGGTATTTATAGGTGAGAAGAAATCCATCCGTTGGAGGGAGATGGCATTTCAAACCTATGATCCAGTGGTTAATAACCGGAGAGCCTTGTGCATTTATTACTTTATTAAATGCAGTTGTACTATATAGACGTTGGAGATAAGCACTTTTGCTTATTTTGTCTTCTAGCTCTGAAAAGTAGTACTGTGGCATTTAATGCACATTGATAAATGTGCTCTCATTCCTAGGATGATCTTCAAATGAGACATTGTTGGTCCCGATAGGGTGGTAAAAGTCTAAAGGGGGGGGGGGGGGGGGGGGTGAATAGACTTTTAAACTTTTTCACAATAAATAACTCTTTGGTAATTTCAACTCTAAGTAACAAGTAAATAGAGAAGTAATCAGATTGAAATGCACAGCGGAATAAATAAGTATAAAGAGTTATGCCCAATCAATAATTTGAATCACATGCACGTGTAGGATAATGCTCAGATGAGGTGTAAAGATGACATGAATATCTTGAATATTTAAAGAAGATGGTGCACTCAATATTTAACAATAATATTCAAGACTATAAGTAAGATTTGGTGTCACATCGATCATATGATAAAAGTCACATGCAACACGTCAAACTTGCTTAGAATAATTCAAGAGTTAAGCTCTTAAAGTTTGAGTTACATGCATACGTGAAAACATGCTAAACCCGAAAGATTAAGATAGACTGTGAATAGTAAATGGGTTAGTCGGATGATAAATAGATAGAGCAAATTATGTAAGTGCGGTATGTAAATGAGAGAGGCTTTTTATAGTGGTTCGGAAGTGGCGTAATCTTCCTAGTCCACTTTACTCCATGCACTTCTAAGAGTAATTCACTATTTTCCGCACACAGTTACAATAGTGAATAAGTGCTACACAAGCACTTCTTCCAGATGTCTTGCACACAGCTACACCCAACTCCAAGTGTGTCGCACACAGCTATACTTAACGCCAACTAAGTGTTTTGCACACAGCTACACTTAGCAACAACGAGTGTTTTGCACACAGCTACACTCATTAGAGTATTTTGCACACAACTATACTCTTCTAACAATTACAAATACAAAGGTAATTGTATCTCTCTCCAACTATTTTTGAGACTATTCAGACTAAGTCTCTAAAGAATATTTGAGCACTTGCACTTGTTTTTCTCGTGTGTATTCACGTCTCCTTTTTTGTATTCACCTCTATTCTTTCTTCAAGTCTTCATGGCCTTTTTATAGATAACCAAATATATCCGTTGGAGTGGGATAATTTGATATTTGAATTTTGAATCTTCATAGCCTGATATTGTTGACAATGGTAGGTCTTCAATATGATTTGATAGTCAACTTGCCTGTCAAGATAATATTTTATCTCAACTTGATTTTCAAGTTGTTTCTAAAATATTATTATTTTTGCCAATTTTGAATTTCCAACGTATCTTTGAAATAAATCCTTCTGATAGAGTTTATTTCTAGGATAAGTTTTTATATTCATGTCTTCATAAATATTTCTCCCGTTTTGATCATATTTTCAGGCAATTTTGGACTCTTGTGGCATGTGGATAGATTCAAAATAAATTTCTTCGAATTTATTCATTTTCTGATCATCTTGCTTCTTTGCCACTTTTTGGTTTTCAGAAGACACATTGTGCTTGTTTGACTTTGACACATCTTGCTTGTTTGACTTGAACATTGTGTTTTTCTTTTGGACACATCGTGCTTGTTGATATCGTGCTCCATAAGGAACATTGTGCTCCTTTCAGACATCGTGCTCTTTTGGACATTGTGCTCCTTGGGCGCATCTTTATTGTACACATCGTGCTCCTTTGGCACATCTTGCTTGTCCGAATTCACATTGTGCTCCTTTCAGACATCATGCTCTTTTGGACATTGTGCTCCTTGGGCACATCTTGCTTGTACACATCGTGCTCCTTTGGCACATCTTGCTTGTCCGAATTCTTGACTTGTAAAAAATAAGTCCTTAGGGGGGAATCAATCTCAGGTATAATCATTTTATGTAAAAACTTCTACCATTTCGCTATTAGGCTCATTCAATCATTTGTTGCAACGCCATTCCTTTATGCTTCTTTCTCGGATGAATACTCGTAGGACCAAAATTAATTTTGTTCTTCACATGGTAGATTTCCTTTGACTCGATATTCTGGAATATGATGCTTATTCTAAAATCTAAAATCTAAGGGGATCTAAAGTACATTTGGCTCATCAAAACTTTATTACAAAAATATTCCTATCAGACATATTGACAACATTCTTCTTGAGTTGAGAGAAGATGAGTTGTCTTGACATCCAAAACGGTTTCTGGATCAGAAGGCTTCTTTCGGCTTCTGCTTTCTGTTGTAGAAGATCATCTATTCTTTCGTGGTCAGCTTCACAAACTCTTCTTTCGTTCTTCAAAACCTAACTTAAGAGATCATAACTCGGTTTCGTGTGTTTGACTAACTTAACACGAATTACATGGTGAGTTATGGTACCTTTCGTCTAGCACGAAGGTAACAGAATGAAAGATAAAAAGTTAGGGGTCTACTTCTAAGTTACATTAGTATCATCAAAATCATAGTACATATGTTCCTAACAATTTCCCCTTTTTGATTATGCCAAAACATATACTCTGCTTATAAGGCCGATAAATATCCCATAAAGGATTTTTCATTCCAAAACAGCCATACAGTAGAGTTTACATGTGGTGTCTAATAAATGTAGGACAATACAAGTAATTAAAGCTGATAACTTAGATAAGAACCCGATATATTGAATAAAAAGTGACTTTTATAAAGATCAAAAACACTTACATAGTAATGTCACTGGAACTATCGAAAAAAAACTTTTACATTTCTAAAAGTTTCGCCTTCTGTATCTGAGCTTCTTCTCTTTCCTTGTCATCTCTCTCTTTCTGTTTCTTGAGCATCCTTTTCATGTCGATGTCTCGGTTGATATGCTCTATGTATTTTTGGATTGAGCTTTCTCTGATAATATCTTCATATTCTCCTTTGATGTTGCTGCTCACGTAATTGTTGTATGCTTCGAGGATGTTTTCTCCTTCAATTATGCCGAGATTCCACCATGCAAATAAGTTCAAATGAGTGCATTCCTTCGGTGTAGCTCTTTCCAGATTCTTTGTGAATTTTGAAGGTAGCATTATATTTGACTCTAGGCTCAGCATTTTTCTTGACTTTCGTGACATCCCTTATCTCTTCTTTGATTCTTTCTCTTTCGGGCCAGTTCATTTTCTCTGGCAAGTCTCGCTTCTTCTTGCTTGTTCCAAAGTTCACGATTTGCTTTCTTGATCTCTTCATTCCTTTGAGTCTGATGAACTTGCCTGAAGTAATTGTCTCTTTTCTTCATCCACACAGGTATGTTGTACCCTTCAAATCGTTTTCCACTTCCTTCTTCATATGGTTGGTACGTGTGGAAGTTTCCTACGGCATCCATGGTTACAGTATCCTTGCGCATCAGCCTTTGGCGAAGGTTCTTTTTCTCTCTACTCGTTTTCCCAGAAAATGAGAACTAAGAGGTGGATCCGAAGGATTGACGAGGCTTGATGGAATGCTGTCTGGGTCTAGAAGAATATTGTTGTCGAGATCTAGATCCTGAAAGTGGTGATCTCGTGCTCCTTGGAGGGGGGTTTCTTCTCTCTTCATGTCTCGTAGAGGATTCATTGATTCTTCTATTTTCATCACCACGTGGTGGTGATCTATTCCTGTCTTCATCCTTGTCATCATCCTTTCTCGACTTTTCCCCCTTTTTGGCATCATCACACGGGGTGTCAGAAAATCTGGTCAGACTTTGAACTGCAATAAGAACATCCTTGACGTACTCAAGCATAGTGAGTTGATATTCAGCCAGTTTAAACATGTTGTCATGCCCGAGATCTATGTTTATACAAGCAAGATCCACTCGTTCTTTGAGACCGAAGTGAGCAAGTTTGAGAGCATGTTGTTCCTTAGCAATTTGTCAAGGATGGCTCGTTGTTGACTAAGTTCGTGTGCAAGCCTATCTTGAGTATCTGGAATGGAGGTGCTGGGTTGCGGACGAGACATTATTTGCATCATGCGGTCGATTTTGGCAGATAGATCTATTATGTTTTGGCTGTCTTTTCCTCAGTGATGCAGATATTGCTTATGAATGAGATCAGCATTAAAGACTATATTCAGCATTTGGTGCATGATGTGCTCGGGACTAAGCTAGTCGTTGCCAGGCTCTTGGTAAGGCGCATGAGGTGATGCTTCCCGATTTTCATCACGCTGTGATGCATCCATGTTGTTATCACGAGCTATATCTGGGAGAGGAGGTAGCATGGCGAGAGGTAACTCATGAGTTGGGTCTTCCTTTGGTGGGGATGAGCTAGGGACATGTGATCGTTCAGGTATATCTTCGGTGTTGCCTATGATAGGAGATTCACTATCATAGTCTGAATCGCCATCATCATTATCATCGTCATCTGAATCATCATCACCAAGATTATTGTTATCAGCTTTTCCTTCATCATCATCATCATCTCCATCATCGCCATGAGAGTCATCCTGCTCATCACCTGATTTCTCATTATCATCTTCATCATCTTCTTCAATTTCAGGATTTTCATCAGTACCTTTGTCTTCATCAGCATTTTCATCCGAATCAGAGTTCGCTTCTCTGCTCTCGGTTTCGGAGGTTCTTTCGTCTTCATGTTCAATCTCCTTTCCTTCGTCATCTTTTAGTCCGCTGACATTGCACGCTGGATCATTCTGATGAGTTCGTTCTAACTCTGTCTTGACTTTTGACAGGAGGAGAGCATATCGAAATTCTTTCGTTTCTTCAACGAAGGCTGGATCCAATGGCGGCTTGTTTAGCTCAATGCAAATGGGCGCTTTTTCTTTCCCAAGAGTGCGATGGGTCACTTTGTAAGAGTACACACGTTTGATGGTTTCAAGGCGCAACGCTTCATAAACATCTTTGGTGCCGATCCACTATAGAGCAAACTCTTCTTCATCCTTCATCTCTTCAAACATTTCAAGAAAAGTTTGTAATGGAGAAGTTCGCCATTTCTGCCATTGCATGACCCTGTTGAAGTCGTTCTCAATGGATTCTCAAAGCAGTTGGTCTTTTGATTGGGGAATTGGGACAGCTTCGGGTACAGATACAATCGCTTGAGAGTTCTCGGGTATGACCGAGTCTTGTAAGACTTCAGGCTCGGGTAGAGCTTCTTTCGGATTGGATTCAATCGGAGGAGTCACTTCTCTCATCTCAGCTGGCTGACCAGGTTTTTGTGGGAGACTTAAGTGACTCGAAAGATGTGGTGCAATTTCATCCTCGTCTACCCTGACAGGTTCTTGTGTCAGAATGGGAGCCATCTCCTCTGTTCGGGTAGGTTCTTGTGGGAGGGTTGTTTCAACAGTTGGTTTAGTGACCACCTTTCTCGTCTCTTCTGGCACGCCAGGTTCTTGTGGGAGACTTAAGTGGTCGTCCAGAGCTTGAGATCCTTGAGCATCCTTCTCCATTGCAGCAGGTTCTTGTGTTAAGCTCGTGTTGAGTTGCTCTGCCTGGATGGGTTCTTGTGGTAAGGAGGATTTCTTCAAACTTTCAGAGCTCTTTGATCTCTTCTTTCTCTTCTTGGAGTCCTTTCTTTTCATTTCTTCCCCCTGAGAAGATGCAAGCTTCTTCTTCAGTTTAGATGGTAATATTGACTCAGGAGGGGGAGCCAATTTCGCCATGATTTCGTTTGCTTTGGCAATGGTAGGCCGAAAGTGACTTTTTGAGGTCTTCACAGGACTAGAGAAGGCAACGTCTTCTTCTTCGGAGGAATCAGCAATTATGACGGGTTCAGTTGATGAAATTTGTGGAATCTTTTGAGAGACTTCTTTTGTGATTGCTTCTGGTTCTGTGGGTGTAGAGACAGGTTGAATTGATGAGGGGGATTTCATCTCAAGGACGGGCTGAGCTGTGTCAGTAACTTTCAGCAATACTTCAGGTTGAGCAGTAGATGGTTCTTCTGTTTTGAGTGCAGGAGAACTTTTGTTCTCTCTTGATCTCTTGGCCTTGGGCACATCATCATCTATTTCTTTAGTTCGTTTGGACTTTCTCACCTTTTTCACTGAGTCCAACGGCAAGCCAAGCTCCAAAGCTTTCTGTTTGTCATATCCACTAGGCTTTGATTTCATGTGACACACTTTTCGCCCAGGCGAAACTCCTGCGCGTAGAGGGATTTTCTTCATGGCAAGAAGATGACTGACTAGAAAGCCGAAGCCTATCTTCTTGGTAATATCCCCTGGTGAAGTACGACCATTTGTGATGATGTAGCGATGTTGGTTGAAGATAATTTTCGACCAATCAACGTTATATCCCCCGAGAAAGGCATGCAGCATCTTTAGTTTATCCTTCGTGACATCATCTGTTCCCGAGGTCTTATGTTCCACTATCTTGTTGAAAACGTCAACTGTGAACTCATAATCCAAACGTAGTCATTTCTTCTTTAGAGGCCAGGTTATCTCGACATTTGACGGTCCCTGCATGTTCTTGATCATGTCATAAAAGGCATTTCGCTCGTAGTAGTAGCCAGAGAGATCAGGATGGTAGGTTTCGTCTCGGTCTAGAAAGGAAAAGGCTTTCTTCAAGTCGTCCACGGTTAGGGCCACGGCGGTGCGATTTACTTTGGAGGTAATTTCCGATCCATCGGCAGAAACACTTGCGTTTAGGTAAAACTGAGCGACATCTACTGGAAACCAGTATGTATATAAATGAGTAACAAAAGCATACAAGCCACTTTCCTTGAGAAGATTGATCACTTTTTCTCCAAAAGAGCGGTCAAGAACATATTCCAGAAACCCATGAGCATCCCACATGCTGCCACCAATGATGAATAGTACTCTGGATTCTATGAAGTTAATGTCGGATGTCGGGAAGCTTGGAACCACCATTGTAGAGGGTGTTTCCTGTTCAGCATCGGAGGTTGGTATCTTGGATGATTTTGCCATGACTTCAGTGATATGAATATGTGTAAACTGGATTTCAAATCTTGGGAAGAAGGTTTCTGAGAGGTTTTGAAACTTGGAGAATTTCTGAGAGATTTTCAAACTTGAAGTGTTGAGGAAGTTTTGGAAAAGTGGGAGGGAAGATGATGATTTAGGTTTTATAGGAATGGATGTTACAAAAGTTTTCTAATGGGCCAAGAAATTCAAATGGTTGACCCGATCCTTTTTCTTGAAGATGAATAGGTTTGTCTTCTCTTATTTGACCAATCAGGAAAACTGATACGACGGGTATATCTGATATGCCCAGTATCAGATCAATTTTGATAATTCCGCATTAAATAGGAGAGAGAAAGGTACTCGAGTACTAAACATCTCCATTAAATGCGCGTCGCATCAACTGACATAGGAGCATGGGTTAGTGGACTGAGATTTGTGGCCACACGATCACCATTATCAATTTAATCTAACGGTTAGGGTGAAATTCCTCAATCCCAAGTATCCGTCGAAGAATTAATTAAGGAATAAGTCAGGAAAGATAAGTAAGACTTTCACTAAGTCTCGGGTAATATGATTTTCGTGACCATAACTTATTTTGCAGAAAGATAGAGCATACGAGACAAGGAGATGAATTATTACAAAGACACACATAAACACTTTTACATTCATCTCTCGGTTTCCATAAGATGGAGTCATCCTTAAGTGCGCTTCACTCTCTTTCTCAGCTGTTCCTCGAGCTCTTGCATTTCTTCCTCACAGAGGTCATTCCGCATCAGATAAGATGGATCAGTTTTGAAAGCACGCATGGGCCGAGTGGAGGATGAACATTCTGGAGAAAAGTCGAAGGAAGCTTCTTAGAAACCGAATCATGCAAGCTTTCTCCACGCTCAGATGATAGGCTAAGAGATTTGAACATCTCTTGAACCTTTTTTAGATCCTTCTTCGGCAAGGAGACAGTAGAGGAAATCTTTTTCTTGCCTTTATCCATTGTTAAGAAGTGGTGTGATCATATCGATAAGAAGTATCCTTTTATAGACAAGCATTCTTGTTCATACCGAGGTATACCATATATGTCCTGTGTGAAAGACTAAACACAAAAAGATTTCGAGTTCCAACGTTTCGGAAGATTCCTGACGAAAGATGTGATAGGGCAATTTTGAAAGATAAAGTAAATCAAATAAAGATCTACTTCTCTTAAAGCTTATCATTTCGTGTTAACAAGAGGGCGAAACTAATAAAGTTTCGGTAGTTAGACGCGAAGGATATTTATTCATTATAATTAGAGAGAAACATCAGAAAGGAGTACATAAGGGATAACGATTAACATCATTTCTTCTCCTTTCCCTTAACATCATTTCTTCTCTTCTCCCTTCACATCCTTGCTTTCCACTCCTCTCATTGACATCATTTTGCCTAACTCCTTTCGAAACCATTTTGCGGTTTTGACAGTTTTAGATCCAGAGGGAGTGGTTTTTGCCTTAGCCTCGCTACCAGAGTCAGATTCACTGGCATTTGTGCTCAAAGTCTGCAAGTAGATTTTTCCAATCTTCAGCAGTAGGAAAATCTCGTCCTCCTTCAATAGGTGGTGGAGCTTCATGAAGATCAGCAATGGGGTTCTCTTCATCTTCAGAGATGAGAGGTACACCATCCTTTTCAGGTTGATAATCATCAGAGGATAGATCAAGAAGAGCACGCTCACTGTTTCCTGGATAGAAGTCTCCTTGTTCCTCTCTTAGCTTGTGAGCAGCCTCTTTTTGCTGCTTGGTTTGCAGACGAGTGACTGGTCTTCTGGGTGCCATTTTCAAGCTATTTCTTAGATATGTTTGAGTGAGATTTGTGTTCATAACTCACCTCCTTTTATAGCTGATGCTTAGCATTGGGAATTGTGAGCATTGAATGACCATTCAATATTTGTGTGTTATTCTTTGAACCATTTATTACGGCTATGACTATTAGCACGTAAGTTAATGAAGACCATGAGGGAGATGTAACAGACATAAGAATTTTTTTGCAGCAATCATGATGTAATACTCAAATAGATAAAATAAATCAAATAAAGATTTATCTCTCTGTGAGTTAGAGATTAACCCATAATAAGCCACATTTTATTTCATGACGAGAAAGGACACACGATACATCTTAAAACGTTTCAAGAAGATTCTACTTCTTCTCTTTTCCTTTCTTCGTGTTACTTGGTTCCCCCTTTTCTTGTCTGTTTTTCTTCTTGAGAGTTGAATAGTCAGGACGGGATGATCCAACAGAGGATTCTGTCTCAGCAAGAAGAGGATCTACATCTGGATATCCAACGAGTTCGGTTTTGCAGTCATATGTTCTGAGGAATTCGCGAAGATCCTTGTACATGGCTGGGTTATTCCAAGATTTTTCAGATAAGAAGCCAAGTCTAACGATAAGAGGAAGCTCCTCGTTTATCTTTGTCTTTGAGGATTCTTCGTCGGATTCGTATGTAATGAATCCATCGTAGTGCCCGAGATCTGAGTCTGAAGATATGTCCAAAGGGGCTCGCATGCTATTTCCAGGATATAGATCACCTTGTTCTTCACGTTCAAGACGAACCCTTTCTGCAATTCTCCTTGTTGTGTCTCTGGTGATAGGCTTACAGGTGCCATTTTAGACAGATCTTTAGAAGTTGATAATTAGACTCAGCTAATACCCTCCTTTTATAGTCAGAACATGATGGGACAATTTAATGCATTTGCATTATTTTCAATGAGGTCTTGATTACTTGGGTGAATATCGTCGTGTCTTTTATGCACAAGACAACAAGTTTCGAAACATTTATTCCCGTGAACTTATAGGCATCATCACTTTTACGACTATGAGATTCCGCACAGCTTTCAATTTTAGGATTGAAACTTTTGTGAAATGTCACTTCAGCATTTAATTTATCTTTGACCAGAATAGCAATGTTTCGGCATTTTAAAAGCTTGGTCAAGATGATAATTATTACTAGCATGAAACTTCATTAAACGAGACCAGAGAGCAGGTAACCATGCCTTACAGAGAAGATAATCATAAGAGATTCGTTTAAAGAAAACGATAAGGCATGTGAACTTCCAGACAGGTTGATTCATCAGTTACATCAGACACGCTGGCCACTTTTGCATACTCGTCCAGTTCCTCAAGAGAGAGGGTGGGTTTAGGCGATTTGCTTGATGACTGAGAGTGAATATGACAAAAGTCTTCATAAGATTTTTCATTCTTTTGAGGAACCTCAGGAATGGGATACCAACGAAAGGTGGGTGGATTAGATGAGTGCTGATGTGCACTTTTCAGAATCATTATCCTTTCGTGTGCTAATTTTCTGGCTTGTTCCTGGTGGAAGGCTCTCTTAGCTTGGAATAGAGTATGTGACATTCACCCTTTCACCATCTTCTTCCAGTTTTATGATTGTCGCATTGGTGAGTTTGCTTGCCTCCGTGAGAGGGTGGTTTAGTCGAATTGCTCGTTTTTCTGCTTCGTCCATTTTTCCTTTGCCTTTGTTTTGATTTATACCTGCAAACAACACTTACTAAAAAACTAAGATATGTTAATAGGTTAGTGTGAGTAGCTTTCGTTGAAGGAGGAACTAATTTATAAGCACAAAGGTTGCGTGAAGATGTGTTCAAGAGATTTTGGATTGATGATGCGTAGTATATTTGCAAACAAATAATTCTCGGAGTACGAGTTATCGATCCACAGGGAAGTGGTTGTATCAAGCACTAGTTACTAACTTATTCATTAGAGCTAATCCTAACAATTACTTAGATGATTGATTGGCATAAAATAAATAAAATAAAACAGAGGTTCAGGATTTTGAAAACAATTAGAGAGAAGTTGAGATTCATGGGATTCAAGTATTTAATCACCTAGTGCCAATTATCGTTTGCAATATTTAGTTTGGAATTAAGATTTGTGTGGGAATGCAAAGTGGAATCGAATTACTCCCGTAATCTCTATTCCTAGTGAATTTCCACTCCCATGGCTTAAACACCCAATAAGATCAAAGATCAGCATTCAATTATTCCTAATTACTACCATCTCCCGATTGGCAACAATCTAGAATAAACTTCCCCTAATAAGTTCCCCTTTCCCAAGGACCCACCATTAGGTGCAATCGTGTGTGCCCTAATTTATGCCCCAACTCCCATTGGTGACACAAACATGGCTATGAAGCTAGTAATTATGGCCATTAATTACAAGCATCAAACAATATTATCACGATTGCAACACAAGTATTAAACCCAAATAATAATATATTAAAGAAACTGAGAGCTCAGGCACATAGGCACTTTTACCCAAGAATCTCTAAAGAATTTAGCCAAGCATGACTAAATTATACATAGCAAATATAAATAAAGAATTACAAATCATCAAAAGAGTACAAGAATTAACCAGACGATTTTCCCAAATCTCCCTAGTCTTCTTCTTGCTTTCCAAGACAACTTGTGGCTCTTGATTTCTCTCCTTCTTGTCTCCAAGAATCTTTGAATTCTCTCGGTCCTCGGTCTCCCTCCTTAGGGTTGAGGAAGGAGGGATTTTATAGTGGGTACAAAGTTGAGATGAAATAGGAATCTTGTACCAAATTGGACTCAAATTCTAATTCCTATATTTAAATAAAGAAATTGCCGTCTTTAATGATATTTAGAATTTGGAAGATTCCTTGAATTGCTAACTTTTAATATGGAGATATGAGCCTTGAAATCCGTGCAATTGATATTAGGAAAAGAAATCTCGCGCTTGTATTGAATTTTGCCCAGCTGCGCCACTTTAGGCGTCTGTTTTTATCCCAGAAATAGACGCCTATTCTCTCGACGCGTCGAGAATTTTCTCCACGCGTCGAGACTTCCTGTGCGCGAATTAGTTAGCTACTGGAAAATTTCGACGCGTCGAGCCCTTGGCTCGACGCGTCGAGTCCACTGGGCCCCGAACTCATCCAAAATTGCTCCAAACTCATCCTTGAACTTCCCTTGCTCATAGAATTGACCTAAAATGGTTCAAAAACACTAACAAACACCGTAAAACATTCAAAACAAGTGTGAACCATAATTAAATGATAATAGCAAGGAAAACCTGTATTAAATAAGCAAAATTAAAGAACTTAATTACTATGATGATTCAAAATAACTATAAAAACAAGCACAGATGTGATAACATCAATTGAGGTACCAAATCTCCTTTTGGGAATCTTTCAGGAATCTCTGAGTTATGAGCCCATTAACACGCCAACTTGTTATGTCAATTCAATCATTCCAATTTCGTGGCGCAGTGTAGCAAATCTATTCTCACATAGTGGTGATAGGCATATTTTACACCCATATTTTAGTTACATCTTTATAATAATTTTGCATTAGTTATTTAATATTATCTTATAATTAGTTCTTTTTATATATAATATATAATATATAATATATATATATATATATATATATATATATATAATATATAATACATATTACGTACTACTATGCATTATATTTATATCTATATTTTATATATTATTCAAATAAATTAAGTGGCCCAAACCGTGCTTAGCATAATAAACAAAAACAATTCTTATTTTGTTTCTTAATTATTATGTACGCAGCAACAAGAGTTGAATTCTTCAATTAGACAATTACCATCCGCAAGTTTCGACGGCAACATCGGAAGATACGGAACACGGCACAAAAAGAGGAAAATTGGATGGTTGAGGTTCATTGAGCCTATTTTTAGAATGCTATAAATAGTAGGAGTTTCTTATTGTATAATGTTCATTCTTCCCCTCTCGATTATTCTGTAAAGGTATTATCAATGTCCATTCATTGCTAATTTCTTTAGCTTGGTTTAGTGAATTGAAGCCCCGGAATTGATTATTCTGTAAGATTATTTATTTATTTTTATTATATAATTTTTATGCATTTGAGTATTAAATATTCTTCTATGTTATTTGAATAGTTGTATCATTTAATTGCTAGGGAGGCCTACTAGTTATTTACTTGATATAATTATTTGCTATATTAGATAATGTTGTGCTACAAATTATTCTAATATTCAGTAACAACTGAGGTTAATTATTGACGGCTTAGTGATAATTGGTCTCGGGTAGAATATTTTTCTAAATTAAATGCAACCGCTTGTGCTTGTGTTATTTAGTTTGTCGGTTTTCCTAGTTCCTATTGCTGCTATTAAATTAAATCTATAGCGCTTGTCTTAGGTTATTTAGTAGTTAGGGGTAATTAAACCACGTGTGCTTTAGTTACCTACAACTAAGGGAAAACGGAAATGAAATAATTTCAAGACAAATATTCAATTGCATATTAATTACTTTATGAATCAATGATCAATGTTAAATTCCGGTGGTGGATCTTTACTAACTAAGGTTTTCTATTATAAGTGTTTCAATATATTATTTTCATTGTTTTATTCGTTCAATTAAATTTCTTGTTTATTTAAATTCTCTTTTATTTTATCTTTATTCTCGATATATTCCAAACCCCACTTCCTTTAATTTGACCACAAAAGTTAAACTAGTTACTCCTCGTGGGATCGATCCTTACTCCCGCTACTACGTTTGTAAGGTTTTAATTTGGGAGCCTACGACAGCTCGCCAAGTGGTTTAGTGAGAATATCTTCTAATTGATCATCGGTATTAACATATTCAAGAGATATGTTCTTTCTTTCAACATGATCACGAATAAAGTGATACTTGATATCAATATGCTTTGTGCGAGAGTGCAAAACAGGGTTAAGGTCTCCAATGACTTGATCGGGTGGATGATCTCTTAGCCATTTAAGATCTGGTTCAAAAGATGGTTGTTAATGTTGACCGTCCATTTCAGGAATGTAAGGCAGATCAATGTATATCATTGGTTCTGAGGTAGATTGAGTATTTGTGTCAATGATTTGTGTTGCTTCATCAGTTTGAACTCTAGATTCGGGATGTGTAGACTTCGGTTGGAATCTTGTGTATGATGGGATATGATCCTCAAGATCTGAGTCTTCTTCATCAATTGTTACATTTTCCTGAGAGATTGGATCTTGAACATTTGACTTATTCATCCCAACAGGGATATTCTCGGCTTGTTCATCAAATTTAACATGTATAGATTCTTCTATGACCATCGTTCTTTTGTTAAGGACTCTGTAGGCTTTGCTAACCGAAGAATATCCCATAAACAGTCCTTCATCAGCTCTTTCGTCAAAAGCTCTCGGATGAGTCTTCCCGTTGTTATGAATGAAACACCTGCAGCCAAAGATGTGAAAATAACTAATAACTGGTTTCTTACCTTTCCATAACTCGTATGGAGTAAGGTTGTGAGCTTTGTTGATCAAGGATCGATTTTGTGTGTAGCAAGCTGTATTTATGGTTTCGGCCCAAAAATGCTTAGGCAAGCCTGAATGTGCGATCATTGTTCGTGCTGCTTCTTTCAAGGTTCTGTTTCTCCTTTCGGCAACACCATTTTGTTGTGGAGTTCTTGCTGCCGAGAGTTGGTGAAATATACCATTTTGTCCGCAGAAATCCTTGATGACTTTGTTTACAAATTCGGTTCCCTAATCTGATCTTATCCTTATAATGTGACTTCCTTTACAGTTTGAAGCTGTCTTAGGAGATTAGGTAAAACAATTTCTGTTTCGTTCTTCTTTTTCAGGAACAGTGCCCAAGTATACTTCGTGTGGTCATCTACTACGACCAGGGTGTATTTTCGTCCACTTAGACTTGCAGGGTCTACTGGTCCAAATAAGTCCATATGTAGCAAGCTCAACGGGCGAGAGTTTACGTCTAACTCTTTGGACTTAAAGAATGATTTGATTTGCTTTCCTTTTTGACAAGCTTCACAAATTTTGTCTTTAACGTAGGTTGCTTTCGGTAGACCTTCTACTAGGTTTTTCTTCGCAAGTTTGTTGATTCTTTAGATTCAAGTGACTTAGCTTGTTGTGCCATTCCCAGCTTAGATCTGCATTACTTTTAGCTACAAGACAAACGTTATCATTAAATGAGTTCTAAGTGATAACGTACATATTTTTCTTTCGTTTTGCTGAGAGGACAATTTCGCCATCTTTCGTGCTGACGATATTGCATTTATCTTTGGAGAATTCGACGTTGTATCCTTTATCGCAAAACTAACTTGTGCTCAGTAGATTGAATTTCAGTCCTTCTACGTATGAGACATTTTGAATTGTTATGCCATTTTTGATCACATCCCATGTCCCACGAGTTTTGCCACTGGTTTCTCCTCTAAAGATCACTTTCGGACCGTCGATTTCCTTAAAGTTGCTCAAAATTGTTTTGTCACTAGTCATATATCTTGAGCATCCGCTATCTACATACCATATGACCTATTTCTCCTGCAAGAAAGATTATGCATTCTTAGGTACCCCTTCGGTTGCGGGTCCTTCGGGGTTAGAGGTCAACTTTGGGATCCAAGCGAACCTAGAGTAACCTTTACTCATTCTCGGTCCTTTGTACCCGTTAAAGACGCGGTAATCGTAAAAGATTTTTGAAAAGGTTTTGTTCCAATATCGTTCTTGAAAATAATCAGCAGGTGGATTATGATACTGCTTGGAATAATTGGTTTGTTTATGCAGATGTATTTTGTCAAATTGCGCTTTTGAGAAAGGTTCGGGATAACCAAACCAATCTTCCTCGGTTGGTCCACTCCATCCATTGCCTGTCCTCGGTCTTCTAACTGACCTCTCGGCATATTTGATATGTTAATTTCGTGTATACTTAGAACGATTTTGCCTCTGATTAACGTTTGGTTTTGTCCTTGATTGATTGTTCCTTGTAGGCTGACCCTTCTTTTGATATAGATTAAATCTATTGTCTTTTGGTCCATTCCGTTTGGCATTTTTGTGCCTAGGATTGCCTTTCAAGGAATTTTCATTTCTCGATTCCACAATTCGTTGAACAGCCGTTCCCTTAGGTTGGCTTGTTGATTGTGGTGTTTCACCGTTGTTAATCTTATTCACTGGCTCAGATATTTGAGTGGGACCTTAAACAAAAGCAGATATAAAACTTTCACGAGTATATGCATTTCTGGGTTTGTTTAAGGTGACATGTGAAGAGGAGCCGAGGTCATAACCAATTCCGGTTCTTTCCCCAGGCGGTTTTGATCCATTTACCATTCGGTCCATTAGATTGGACGAATTATTAAATGAGTCAAGAACCTCACGCAAATGTTGCTCCCGCTTTTCTCTTTCTGTACACTGCTCTTTGAGAGATAGAACTTGCTTTTCGAGCTGATTCTTTACAATGGCTAGCTTTATGTTCTCTATTCGAACTCGCCTTAGCTCATTGTGGCTGATCAATAGTTGAGAGTTCTCCTCTTTCAATTCTGAGTATGTGCTATTTATGATAGCAAATCTCCTCATCATATCATTGACCGATTCATTGGAGTTTTGATCATTTGATGAGTTCGTTTCTAATGAAAGAAAGGAAGAGGATTGAGAGTCTACCTCTTCATCTTGTGCCATAAGAGACATTTCGTTTGATTCTTCTTCCTTGCTGAACAAACACAGTAGTCCCTTTTCTTTTTCAGCACTGTCATCGTCTGAGCTTGAGCTTGAGGAACTGCTTTCGGATTCATTGTTTTTGATCGTTTCATTTACGACCATTGCTTTTCTCCTTCTTTTGTTTCTGGAGTTTGATGATTCCGGTTTGTCACTCCTTTTGATGGATTCGTTGGTTTCTTTTGTCGTGCCAGAGTCGTGATGTTTGCTGACCATTGGATGTGGGCAGTTTGCTTTAAAATGTCCAGTCTTTCGACAATTGTAGCACAGCATTTGGAATTCCACTGTTTCTTGTCTTGATGGAAGTGGTGATCTTTCATGTTGCCTTCGGCTTGATGATCTTTGAAAGTCTTGGAAGTTGTTCTTCCGCATGAATCTTTTCATTTTCCTAACAAACATAGCGTATTGTTCGTCAGATAAAAAATTTGAAGAGTTAGAGGTTGACCTATTTGACGTCGATGTTTGTTGGTTGGCCACCAAAGCCACATTTCTGATATCGGGTTCTTCCAATTCCTTTGGTTCGTGCTCGAACTCATAAGCTTTCAGATCACTAAAGATTTTGCTTGTGCTGGTGGTTTTCATGTCACGATGATCTCTCTTTGCGGTGACCTTCATATCCCATGACTTCGCAAAACCTCGAAGAATCTTCAAGTTCTTCTCCTTTTTAGTAAGCTCTTTTCCGAGATCTGAGAGATCACCCAGAAGCTTTGTGAACCTGAGCTCCACGTCAGTGATAGCTTCATTAGGCATCACCTTGAAGTCTTCAAACTTCTTCATGGCAACAGTGAGTTTGTTGTCCTTTTCTTGCTCATCTCCTTCTCCCAAATTCATGAGAATGTTCTAAATTTCCATTGCTGTTGTGCATTTGCGAACTCTCGAGAACAGGGAATCGTCCAGAGATTTGTAGAGGATATCTCGAGCAACGTTGTCCAAGTTAGCTCGCGTTTTCTCATCAGAGTTGAGTTGAGACTTTGGTTTTGGTATCATGGGTTCTGCAGCAGCTTGAGTGTTCACCATCATAACAGTGATAGGTCATGTGGTTATCACATCCCACATTTCATCATGAATGGCCGACAGATTTGCCTGCATTCTCACTTTCCAGTCATCAAATTTTGAGAGATTGAAGGCAAGGGCCTAGATCGGTTAGAATGATCCTTTTCCATTTTCTTCACGAAAAATTAGTGCAAAGACGAAAAGATGCAGATTTTAAGATTTTTAGAGAAGGAATCTACCAGGCAGTAAAGGCAAACCTTTTACCGTTCAAGGTAACGGCTCTTATACCACTTGTTGGTCCCGGTAGGGTCGAAAGGAGAGTCTAGAGGGGGGGGGGGGTGAATAGACTCAATTCGGTTTTCGCGAAAATAACTCCTTTCGAGATTATTACGCAGCGGATATGTAATACAAATTTTAGGTTGCTTTGCACTGTTTGTTCTTTTAGAAAACTTTCGGTTAGAGTCGCGTGTTATGCAATGCACGAAAGTAAAGTGCTGGAATGTAAAGAGAAAGAGACAAGAGATTTTTATAGTGGTTCAGCCAACTATGCCTCTTCTACTCTTCTTTCACAACTTGTGAAAGGTTTGCACTATCACTCCTAGTACAAAATACACCAAGATAGCTTCTTTGATCACTAAGCCGGACAGCTACTTGAAGGTTTTTCAACTCCTAGAGTTTACTCCGCCTCTATCAACGTCTTCTTCAGAGTTGAGGGTTGGATATGGATAATCTTCGAGTTTCTCCAACACAATGAAGTCTTGACTGGCTGGTGATTTGATTGATGATCAGCGTATACAAAATTGCAAGGCTTCTTCAAGGTTGTGTGAATGAGATCAGATGCGTCTTCTTCAAATTTCACACCTTGAATCACTGGATTTCAAAAGCTTGAGAGAGTGAACTTGTATAAGGAGCTTTTGAGAGAAAGTATTCAATTGTTCTAAGAACCAGCAACTTCTATCATGAAGAATATGGGTATTTATAGGTGCAAAGAAATCCATCCGTTGGAGGGAGATGGCATTTCAAATCTATGGTCCAATGGTTAATAACCAGAGAGCCTTGTGCATTTATTGCTTCATTAAATGCAGTTGTACTATATAGACGTTGGAGATAAGCACTTTTGCTTATTTTGTCTTCTAGCACTGAAAAGTAGTACTGTGGCATTTAATGCACCTTGATAAGTGTGCTCTCATTCCTAGAATGATCTTCAGATGAGACATATTGACAACATTCTTCTTGAGTTGAGAGAAGATGAGTTGTCTTGACATCCAAAACGGTTTCTGGATCAGAAGGCTTCTTTCGGCTTCTGCTTTCTGTTGTAGAAGATCATCTATTCTTTCGTGGTTAGCTTCACAAACTCTTCTTTTGTTCTTCAAAACCTAACTTAAGAGATCATAACTCGGTTTCGTGTGTTTGACTAACTTAACATGAATTACATGGTGAATTATGGTACCTTTCGTTTAGCACGAAGGTAACAGAATGAAAGATAAAAAGTTAGGGGTCTACTTCTAAGTTACATTGGTATCATCAAAATCTTAGTACATATGTTCCTAACAATAGGTTTTGAAAGAATACGTACGCTCACTTAGAGCCGCTAATGCACTTATGTTCATGATATACTAAACATGCTCATTTACTAAAAAGAATATCTTAAATGCTCTTTGACTATAAGTCAAGTAAACAATGTATAAACTCGTGCTTATAATTCAATTTTCAATAATCCTCTTAGCAAATATTGATCTTGCTCTTCAAACTCGAAATAGACATCATGCTCTAATATTTCACTTTACTGGACAAATAATTCCATGCACTGTACAACTAAATATCTTATATTCTTGACAAAATTCTCAATAACTCACAATGGTTATTTAAACATGCTGATCAAGCAAACTTGGCAAATAATGATCATGCTCCTTAATCCAACAATCAAATAATGGTCATGCTTCTCATTCAAATAGCTAAGTCAAAATACATCACATTTTTTTCTCTGTAAGTAATACACAGATTACTTCTATAGCATAAATCAACACAAATTCTACTGTAATTTACTCATTTCAACTCTAAATTCAATGAAGTCAAATTCTACTAGTGCGTCGTAACGATCCCGAGTGTCCGAGCCTCAAGGGCTCGCGAGTCCCGGTCCGAATGAAACGTAGCTGAGCCACAAAGGGCCCGGCCATTGCACTAGATTGGCCTGGCGGAGCTTGCGGAGCCCCGCCACTTGGCTCCGCCAAGCAGCGGCCCTGGGCGGCGGACCACTCCTTGGTCCGTCCCCTAGGACCGTTGCTCCACGGTGCTAGCCAGCGGACCTCCACGGGGTCCGTTGGCTAGTACCGTGAGGCTGTCTAGTGCACACTGTCTGGTACACCAGAGGCCTTCTCTTCACCTATAAACCATCTCAGTGTAATCCCACACTCCCAAATCCTCAACAACACAACATAGATCAATAATAGATCACTTAATAGCTCAACAACATCTATAATCTAGCATTTCTAAGCATTTAATGTAACACCCCTAATTTTTAAAAACATTTAAAGCCTATGGAATAAAGGCAAATCTATTATTAAATCCCAAACAAAGCATAAACGAAACATAATAGTCGGGATGCTATGCCACATCTAAGTTGGAGAACTTAGATGCACAGGCTATACTAACTAACCAAACATAAATCCATAATTGAGTACAAACCAAGGCACGCAGGCCGACTAACTAATCTAAGACTATCTAGACTAGATTCGGGGGATCCAACTAGCACACTCCAAGCTACTAATCTATACCTGAAAAACATGCGGTGTAACAACCATCAGCGAATAATGTTGGTAACCCACTGCAACGCGTTATGTACAATATAGGTAGATATAAGAAAATCATTTTGAAACCGGAATACATATATAACCTATGAGACTCTAATTTAAATCAAAGATTAAGACTCAAGACAGGATAATAGACTCGACAATATAATTGATATGAACCTAGTCCAAGGTTCAAATAAGATGGAATGTTCTCCCAAGAATATAATGCTCTCAAAAGTAAAGATAGAGATGGATCAAAATACCTTAGACCTCACGAGAAATCTTTTGTCTCGAATCCTCAAAGACTTAGAAGAATCCCATGTAGCTTCAAGTACCTCGATGTTGCAATCTTCAAACAACTAGAGTCAGATCTAGTTTCCTTTGATTCAAGAACGAGTCCACGAACCTAAATCTAAGGTTGAAGAAAATAAGATTGATTCGATTCCACGAATCAATTTGGTAGTCGAGTCCACGACTAGCCACTACTTGAGTCCACAATTAGCCATAAGGTTTCTTACACAAGTGCAAAGAAAAACTTAAGAAATTTATTGAATTAAAGTTTGCCTCAAACTGTTATGGATGTGCCCTATTTATAGGTATAGGGCAGCATTATAATCCTAAATACAATGGGAAAAAGAGTCCTAAACCTAATCTAGAAAGCAACTAAATATAGTCCTATTTAGAAAGGGATTTAAGGAATCCTTTCTAAATACAAACTAGTATTTTCTCTTTAATGTCAAACAATTTAAAATAATGATGACCAAAAATAATAAAGCTTATTTGGGCCTAATTTAATCTCCAAAATCAGCACTTAAACAATTATTAAAAGCCTTGAGTTCTTCCTCATCTTTTGAAAATGGGCTTGACTTGGATTTCCACCATCTTTGAATATCACCAATGAAGAGTTGTCTTAATTGTTTGGACTTGGGCCTTGTGATTGGCCCAATTGGTACTCTTGATGGATCTTCATTATGTTGGGCCGCATCATCCTTCCCTTCTTGAAAATGATTCGACCTCGAATCTTGTAAGCATTGTCTTCGATCCATGATATCACTTGAAATGGGCCACTATAATACTTTCCTCTATCGAATGGAATTATTATTGGACCTTCTTGTTTCTTCCACCAATGATTCTTTATGGATGTAGTTATGGGCCATGTGATGAGCCCACTATAGACCCTTATTGGAGTCCATGTGTACAGATTCCTATTATTCTCCCATTCTTGAAAAGGATTCGTCCTTGAATCCAAATCTTCAATGAAAGAAAAATTAGCAAGCTCACTTTGTGTTTTATCACGCTCATGGAACTTTTTCTTGGGATGCTTGACACGAGTCGCTCCAATCTTCTCCTACAATCAACAAGTAGCGCAATTAAGTCTAATGACACAGCATGAGATTTAAACACTCTGGATAGTTATAGTTCAACAAAATGAGACGTATTAAATTTAGCCATCTTGTTTGAATTGTCAACAAGCACAAAATCTTTCTTACTAGAGCTTAAGGGTAAACCAAACAAAAAATCCATGGAAATATCAAGTAATGATTTAGATGCATTGTGATGGTAAGTAGCACAATTATGAACATAAGATTCTACATCTTTTTTCTTCTTTGGCCAATGCAAATATGCATGCAAAACATCATCACTCTTTTGAAAATCAAATTGTCCCTTATGTAAATCAACGATTAAAGCATTGCCCAAAACAAAGCAAAAAGTGCCAATTCCATTGACTTTGAACCAAAACCACTTGAGCAAGTAGTATTTGCCATAAGAAGTTTTCAAATGTGCCTTATAACTTCCTAGTGATTCCTTATCTCTATCAAATAAAGTTTTAGTAAAATCAAAGTTAAGGAATCTCGGATGTATGGATGCAAACAAATTTCTAACACATCTAGCAAGTAGGTCATTAATAGAAACATGGCAAAGAAATCTAGAGAATTTTAATGTATGCTTTTGAAATAAAAGTGAGTAGAAAGTGACTCCCCTTCCTTTCTCTTGCATACTATCCTTTTTAGTTACCAAGAGAAGTTGCACTTTGACACCTTGGGCTGG